GCCAGCGAAGCTGCCAGAGAGCTAATTTGGCTCAAACGCTTGTTTGAAGACGTTACAAGACTGACTGAAACACCAAAAGTGATGGTTGATAATGAAGCAGCCATCAAACTAGCCAATAATCCAGAATACCACAGAAGAACTAAACACATCAAGACGAGGCACTTTTTCATAAGGGAACTGGTCATGGAAGGATCAATTGAAGTACAAAGAGTTGCCACTGAATTCCAACTAGCAGATATGATGACCAAACCACTATTTAGACCAAGACTACAGATGTTATGTCATGATTTAGGACTAAACTGAAATGAAAAATCTATTTAATGAGGGAAGGTGTTGAAGTAATCATTATATAATTTATTTAGTCTTTACACTTATACACTTACTTTAATATAAGTGGTTGTTATAGAAATGAAATAATAGAGTTAAGTTTGATTAATAAAAAACCCAAAAGTCTTTCTAAACATTTTATTTACTTTTAAAGGTTTAGCTTCCACAAAACATCGATAACATTAACACAACTAACCCACAAGAAAAGTGCAGGGTTCTTTATCTTTTACATTCATCTTCTTCTGGGGCCTTAGTAAATCTTAATGGCAATGCACCTGGAATTAATCTAGTTCTTCCTCCGCATCCAGTTTTTGACATAAATATATATCCAGAAAAATGATTGGAACATAAAACATCACTATTTGAAATGTTTTCTAGTTTCAATATGTTTCACTAAATGCGTTTTTCGGCAGGATTAGTTGGAAACCTACAAAAAACAAAAATTATTGATTTAACATCTTCAACATTATCATGATAAAATGAGTTAAAAACGAAAAACTTGTTTATATTAAAAAATTGTAATTATTTTTTTTTACATTTTAGTATAGCCCAAAATCTAAAACAATATTCCTCATACATAATACAAGTTCTTTAAATGTAATTCACTAAATTTACCATTTATTTTAAATTCATGTTTAACGGCATTTTGCATAAAATGTAGGTACTTATGTTTCTTTTAAAAAAATTATAGATACGCTAATGGTTACTTACTTGTGAAATGACCTTGACGATGCCTTTTCGTATTTCTATTGAAAACTTACACAAACTCTTACCATTGTTTAAATTTGTATCACTAAAGTAATAAAATACAAAAAATCACTCATAAACTATAAAAATAAGCTAGAAATTGATGAAAATAAAAAATCAAATGACAGTTCTGACAATTTCGAACGATTTGACATGCCAAGCAAAACGAAACAGACCAATGGGAATGCTGGACACTATTTTTCCCCCTGTACCAAAACAAAGCCCATTTGGACGATGGCTCTAGTAATATATGCTCGAAGCTTAGACCACAGAAACTGCAAACATATTTTAGAAGCCATATATATGCCTCCTAAATCTCATTCTAATCTATACCAACTTCACTTTGATCAACTTTTAATGCTAATTGAGCAACATCCGGTCAGTCAATTTTACATATTTGGCGATTATAATCTACCTACAGCAACATGGGATATTGAAGATTTCTGCTCTTCAGCTTCAGCTCATTCCAGTTCATTACTATCCGAAGGTGCTAGCGAAATCGTTTCGAACATATGCGATTTTTACAATCTTTTCCAGTCCAACAAAGTGCTCAACCAAAGAGGAGTTATCCTCGACCTTGTTTTGTCACCGGTGGAACTTACAGTGATGGTAGCCGTTGATATATTGATCCCACCTGATGTTCATCATCCTCCTCTTGAAACTTCAATTCAATATAAGACGAACTCAAGTGATACTCCTGGAGAAGAGTATTATTATGATTTTCGCCACGCCAATTTTGAGGGTATACGCCAATGTTTGGAGGCAATGGATTGGGATGAACTTTTTCACGGAAAGGAACGTTCAGAAATGATTGTTACTCTTTATGACGCATTGTACTCGGTAATTGAGTTATTTATTCCCTTAAAGAAATTTTTTATAAACAGGTTCCCACATTGGTATTCTTTTCAACTCAGTAGCTTGGTCAACGATAAAAAGGTTGCACATAAGATTTACAAGCTAAACAGGACCCAAAATTATGAAATATTTAGTCAGGTTTATATCTAGAGAATGCTATTCAAATTACATACATTCTGTTGAAACTTCTGTTAAAAGTAATGTCAAAGCCTTTTGGAATTTTGTAATAACACCATATCTGATAATATGAACCTTGAAGACTCTTTTGCTTCTTGTGGCAGTGAAGTATCAAATCTGTTTGCCAAGCATTTTTCATCAGTTTACACTAATCAAAATTTTAACGATATTGAATCAAAACTTAATGTTTCCTCTTACCACATTCCTATTTCGACCATTTACGAGAAATTATCTAATCTTGACATAAAGAAAGGTCCAGGTCCTAACATTATTCCTCCCATCCTACTCAGAAATTGCAGCTTCGTATTGTCTCGCCCTCTTCTATATTTTCAATAAATCTCGCCACGGGTGAGTTTCCAGATTACTGGAAACTATCTTCTGTCACCCCAATGTACAAATCGGGTAGCAAGTCAGACGTCAAAAATTACCGACTTCCTGTCAGAAGCTTTGGAAAAGGGTTGTCAGATTGATTCTATGTACACTGACTTTTCTAAGGCTTTTGACAGGGTCAACCATTCTATCTTACTTCAAAAGCTCGATAAATATGGCATAAATGGGGCCGTACTGTAATAGATTAGTAGCTATCTTACGAACAGAACTGAAATGGTAAGAGTAAACCATCACTATTCACTAACTCATTTCAAGTTACCTCAGGTGTTCCTCAAGGATCACACCTTGGTCCCTTATTATTCAACCTATTTATAAATGACACCATTCATTGTTTTCAGTATGGCAAAGCACTATTGTTTGCAGATGATTTAAAAGTTTTCCTAATTATTAAAACCATTTATGATGCCCTCTAGCTTCCATCTGACCTTGATAATCTATTAAACTGGTGTTCCTTAAATGGCATGGACTTGAATGCCATAAAGTGCCATGTCATGCGCTTTTATCAATCCCATGTACCAACTACTACTACTACTTTTGATTATAACTTAAATATCTTGGAGTCTGTTAATCAAATTAAAGACCTTGGAGTTATTCTAGATCCCACTTTAAGCTTCAATCAACACATACCTAAGGCTATCCATAAATCCATGAAAATGTTAGGTTTTATCAAAAGGCTAACACATGATTTTACTGATACAACTGCAATTAAAGTCCTTTATTGTTCACTATAGTCCGACCTCACCTAGATTATTGCTCTTCTATATGGTCTCCTCAGTACATAATGCGCAGCAGAAACATAGAAAATGTGACTTACTATTGCTATTGAAGATTGTCACCGGCATGTCATCTCTCGCAAGTTTTCATGTTCTTTCATAGGGAAAAATTAGTTTTCATGTTCTTTTATAGGGAAAAATTAGTTTTCATGTTCTTTTATAGGGAAAAATTTCATATTCGTTCATTGTTTTTTGAGTTTTAAGAAATTAATCATAAATAACATGCGAGAGATGCCGGTGACAATCTCCAGCAAGTTGTTTTCGCCAGCGGATCGCTGGTGATACGCCGAGATATATCTCTGGCGAATCGCTGACGGTCGACTATGCATACGGGTGTTAGATACATAGCCTATAAATTGGGTGTCCTCTACGAGTATGGTTTGATAGAGAATTTTCTGAACATCCCCTCTTTGGAAACTAGTAGGAAACAGAGACCTGACATTACTTTTCAAAATTATCAATGGCAGATGCAGCTGTACTGAACTTCTAACAAAAATAAATCATTAAGTTTCAACTCGACAGCAACAAACATTTTATGTACCTTTTTTATCGTTTAAACCATTAGTAGCTGTATTCCAAGAATGTTAAGATTAGCCAACACTCATAATGATCTTTAGATATTTAACACCCCCTTTTATAAATTTATAAAGCAATTACTTAGTACTGAGCTTTAATCTTTGTTCTTTAAATTTTTAATGTTTAATATAAATATTTCATTCAACCTTATTGTCTTTTGTCTTTTTAAATCTTTTAAATTTTTTACCTATTTTAGTCTATATGTGATGAATTATACCACGTTTGTATCTCAGCACCATACGATATATACTTCACTACATTTTAATTATAATCTAAAATTGTAATTTATTTCTCAAATTGGCTTGCCCGTAAATAAATTATCATTTTTCCAAGTAACATCAAGAATGTTAAAATCGCCACACAATACCAAATCACAATCGAGCTTCCCAAGTACATCAACTACGCCATCACAAAAAGTTTGATAAACTTAATGTTTAGAGGAGAGAGGAATGTAACAACATCCCAAAAGGATGTTTTTAGCATTCATTTTAACTGTTATATTTATTTGGACTCAACTAGCTGAATATAAAGTTGTACAGTAATAAGTACACCACCGCCACGTTGTAAATTATTCCCTTGTAGATCGCAACGATCCATATGAAAAGTATTAAAATCACTAAGACCTAATTCAGAATCATTATAGTCAGAATTTACCAGGTCTCACTTAAGATGATTTTCTCGTAGTTACATAAGATGACTGATTGATGAAGATCATTTAACTTTCTTCTCATTCCGCCAACATTGTGATAAAAAACACGAAATTGTTTCACATCAGTTCATGAGTTACCCGAAGTAGTTAGTTTTTTTGATCAACGATTTGAGGAGATCCTCGAATATATTTGATAGTTATGTTTTCTCCATTCGCCTTACGTCTCTCTAAATTCTTGATTCCATGGGTATCTATTGTTCTTACATTTTTAATAATATGCAGAGCATCATAACTTGACTCGAAAATAGTTTTCACTGGCCTTGGATTAGCACCAATCCTCCCAACTCATATCTGCCCATTTCAACAAAAATATTACCTAATTCTTTTTCTGCATTCAAAAAATGGCTTTATCGTTGTAATTAAAATTTTAATAAAATAGATCAAAATAAAATTAAAAAAGTTAACAATTTTTAGTTAGTCAAATGAAAATTAATTTGAATTTTTAGCAAATACCACACCTGTTTTAAGACGTATGACAAAATCCATGAAGCTTATAGACGAAGGCGTCATTTGTACAGAATCTTTACAAGATTATGTTAACGAAAACAATGAATTTTTAATAGTAGGTGTAATTGGGGCACATGGAGTGGGCAAATCAACGATAATGAATCTTCTCAGCCACAGTCCCTTAACTGAAGAAATTAAAAATGACCTGTTTAAAACTGAAGGGAACGTAAATGGTAACAAGAATGATATTAAGATTTTAACGAACCACTTGGAGAAGATGGATGTGAAAAGTGAAGATAAAATTAAAAAGGAAATTTTTAGGATTGAGACGGTCGAAGATATTGAAAGGGGATTCAATAGAACACAAGGAATTGATATATTTATAACTGCCAGTAGGGTAAGTATTAATGTAAAAAAAATGTACGATTAATCTGAAGAAATATTTATTTGCTTTTTATAAACATCCGGAGTTTACCTATATTGTGTACTTAAACCGATATTTAAATTCAGGAATAGTCTCAGTAATATGTACCCTTTGTGTAAGTGTTAGGGTCCAACACTTTTTTTTTGTTTACAATACAAACCTTTGTTATCTTATTTAGATGAAACATGGGTTAATGCTAGACATACAGTAACAAAAAGTTGCCAAGATATATCAAAACTAAAAAACAACCTTTTTTAGAAGGGGTTTCTTGTGGATTGAAGAATCCATCAGGAAAAGGAAATTGTCTAATAATAACTCACATTGGAAGTACCATGGGATTTTTGCCAGACGGTTAATAAATTTTCAAAAACAAATTACTATCATGAAGAAATGGATGGCCCTGTATGAAAATTGGTTGTTGAACATTATAAAAAAATTCCAGCCAACTCCATTATTGTTTTGGATAATGAATCCTATTACAGTCGATTAAAGGAGTCACTACCTACAAGATGGAAAAAAGAAGATATTTAAAAATGGCTTCATTTTAAAAATATCAGTCCTAAATTCTTGAAGGCAGAATTACTTGTAAGGCAACATACAAACAAAATAAAAAAATATATTATAGACGAGATGGCCCGAGAAAAAGGAATTGAAATTCTCAGATTGCCTCCCTTACCACGAAATTTTTTTTTTGAAGACAGTTTCTCATGTAAATGGAGAACATTAGAGAAATGCATTGATCATGTTTAAAAGGTGGAAAATTCATTTTGGAAAGTGAATATAGCAATGGAAAACTTAATAAGACTCTATAATAATAAACCTCAGAAAAGACAATGATAATGCTACCAGTATAATAAAATACCACAATTGTAGATAGTGACGCACGTTGTAAAGAAATTTTATAGGCCAATCAAATTAGACGTTTACCCTGTACAAAAAAAGTTGTTTTTAATAAATGTTGATTTTTTAAATACCGACAAAAGGAGAAATATTCAGTATTAATTAATAAACAAATTAGTGGGGTATTGCAAAATCTATTTAATATCTTACAATTTTACAAAAACCTTATTCTACTAAAACCTTTTTCTTCTACTCAATCTTCAAAGACTATACGTTTAAATAGTTTCAAAAAAATGTTTATATTTTTTGAATAACTAATTCATTTGTTTATTACTTTTACCTCCAGAACAGATATCATTTTGTTGAAATAATTTCAATAATTTGACTGGTCTATTTTTAAACTGTTCAACGTCTTAGAAGCGATTAAAAGTACAGAACGCAATCTTATTTTATACATTTTGAGGGACACTTTTTGTATACAGAGATAGTTCTCCTTACCTCTACACTCCATAAATGTAAGCTTTATTAGGTTGGTACTTTCGACTATAGGAATTTTTTTTTACATCATGTCTAATCGGACGATCCTCGTAATTGCCAAGAAATTGCCGATTCACGTCATCCTTGTATTTTTACTTGTAATGTGGTTACTGTGGAAGCATAAAACATTTCTTTGCAACGTATTCCACGATATAGGCAATACAAATATAATTAAATAATTTCTGATATCGGCAATACTTTTACAGCTTATCCTTTTGGATTGTCAACCATTTGCATCAGTTTCCGTAGTTGAGGAATTGATTAAAAGCGAAACTAAGCGGACAAGCTTAGTGAGCGAATTCATACCATTGGAAAACAGCGGAGAAATCCAGGGTCTGCAATTAACTACCTTCCTTATGTCAGTTTGCCATGTTTTACTGGTGGTACAAGACTGGTTTTTAGATAGTAATGTTGTAAGGTGAATAAATATTTAAAATATTTTTTCTTTATTTTGCATCTCAATATAAAAATTGTAATATTTTATTTTTTAGGTTTTTACATACCGCAGAAATGTTAAAACCCACTATTCCCAATCCAGAAGAAGAAATAATCGATTATTTTCCTCATGTAATGTTCGTCCACAATCGAGCCACAATGGAAGACTTTTCACCAATGAAATTCAAAACTATGCAAGACGTAAGTTCATATTAGGTTCGCTCGTATCTTCAAAAATATAATTAAAATTCTCCATGAATTTCTAAACTTTAACAGATATACAATAAATTAGCAGAAAAAAACTCTTACCAAGCAATTCATTGTATTAAAGTGTAATAGTTTGTTTTCATTATTCTCTGGAAACTATAATTAGGAAAAGTAAAATTAAAATAGAAGAAACAATATACAAATTGAAATCATTGATTGTAATACGGAGGATGGCATGAATCATTTTTAGCCGTTTTATTTTTGGACAGTCTCCTTGTCGCTGAATGAAATTTAAGGCCATTTGTGCCGCTCCTATAAGCCGATTCGTCCCAGCTCTTCAAAACAGGCGTTTTGGTGGCAATAACTTCTAAATCGAGGCATATTTCTTGCCAGCTTGAAGATTGAAAATATCTTATCGTGAATGCTTTTGAAATTTCTTCTGAAGTCCAACAGGTCCTTGTTTTTTTCCTTTTTAAAATTTTTACTAAAAACTTCGTTTTTTCAATATACGTCCTCTTAGTAAAGCCCTTTGATTTCTTGCTCTTGGTTTAAATCTGGTAAAAAAACCATCTCATCTAATTTTAAATGTAGGGTGGGAAAAGCTGCAATTAATTTAATTGTGAATTGTAATTGTATAATAATATTCTGAAATTTTACCATTAGTATTTAATTTCAGTTTAGGTTTAGTCCTATGATTCGCACCTGAATGTCATCTATATGATTGATCCTCTTCCATAAAAGGAATACTGAATATTTTCACAGTTTTAACATCGATCTGATATTTTCTAAAACAACATCTGCATATATCGTTTATAAATCTGAGAATTTGTGGACAACATGGATGAAAGGCGACCAAGAAGATGCTTTCTTATTCGATGACACAATTTTTCTTCCGGTTGTGAAAAAATTGCCAGGAACTAAAGTTCTTATTGGGGATAATTTGTCCAGCCACTTGACTGGGTTTTTTAGACCAGAGTGTGAAAAATAGAGGGCTTTTCCTTGTCATTGCCTGCTTCCTCCATAGCTTTGGAAAATAAAATATAAAACGTATATGTTTAGAAGCTATTATTTCTGAAATAAATAATATTTATTAAAAGAAACAACAATAAAAATAAATATTTCATACTCGAACACTATCCAAAGCACAATAAACAATGCCTATATGAAATCCTGTCGACTACCGAATGGTGGTGTCACGAGTTGGATCACCTCAGAAAGATGGCTAGGAAATCCTTTAATAAGGCAAGAACCACAAAAAGAGGACTAGGATACTTACACCTCAGAGAATACAAAAAAATCGTCAGACAAAAATAGAGAGATGCATGGAGATCTTACTACGAAGAAATCGAAGAATACAATCCATCTGTCTATAATTGGCAAACTGCCAAACACATTCTAGACGATGAAAAAATTAGATCAAAGGTCACGTCACATCGAAAGGTAACCGTCTTGCTAATTCACTAGCCAAGAAAGCAGCCAACCAAATACTTTTTGGACCTGGCCCTTCTATTGGCCTGACAAAATCGGTAGTGACAGACCTAATTAAAGAACATTCCCTTGTGAAATTCAAGGAAAGATGGGATGAAACAAGAAACTACAGAGTTGCCAGGAGCTCCTAACTTATCCTGCAGCAAACAAATACTTGACTATGACTAGACAAAATCTGCGCCTAGTCACAGGCATTCTGACTGGTCATTGCCAAGTACGGAAGCATCTCCATATCATGGGGTTGTCAGAATCCGCACTCTGCAGAGGGTGCGAACAAGAAGATGAGACCATCGAGCATATCCTTTACGATTGTTCGACGCTCTCATTTATTAGAAGATTTGTGTTCGGCGAGTATAAGAGAAGCACCTCTTGGAGACGTTGTCAACTGCATTACATCTGTAGGCTGGCTCACGAGCTAGGAGGTGCCTATCATCTTAGGAGGATGCACAATGGGCCACCCTCCACACGTTACAGATACAGAGAAATATTTCATAAATTACAGATTTTCACATTTCATCACCTACCAGTAAAACAATTTTAAAAATATGTGAAACAAAGGTGTTAATATAACTCAATAAAACTTTTAACAACAGTGAAAACAGAAGTACTAAGTTAATATAATCAGCTGAGCAGTAAAACTGTAGAGATAGGATCCTAAATAAACAAAACCGATTAAAAGATACTTTTCTAGCAAAAAACCGCCGAAACTATCAGCACCCAGATAAAAATTCGACTCTGACACTGACATAGCTTCCTCTTTGAACTGTTAATGTTCATTTATTTGTGGTTCGTAACTAAACACTGTCTTCTGTTACAGGTGTACAAAATGTTGTTTCACAAATCCAAATTGAACATAAAATCAGAATTAGGTCTGGGAACTGGTAGATTGATTAGTTATTTGAATAATGACACTTGTGGGAGTGCCGTAAATATGTTTCTTATTCCCGAAATAGATCTAAATTCTAGTAAGTACTAATTATGCAAAATATAACTATTCTGTTTTTTCAGTTAATCGTTGTGATAGCAAAATAAAAAAATACAAATTATTCTGAATGTGTATATTTAGGTGCAGTTTATATTTTCACTATTTCTTTACAGACGACATCTATACAGGACACCCGCCATTGGAGGAAATTATTTCCAAAATGAGAGCTAACATTATGGGATCCACCCGTAATTCTTTGACGCACGTACAATTGACCGAACGAACATGGCTTTTATACTGTGCTAAAGTGTGGGATACTGTAAAGAAAAGCTCTTTCTTTGTCGAATACACCAAACTGATGCCGTAATTGATGCGTTTTGTTATTCTTTTCTTGGTCTTGCACTAATAAACCAGGAGTGGATTATCTAGAAAAAAAAAATCGTCATATGGGTACAAGGAGTAATGTTTCTCTGAAGTGTCTCCACGCTAGAAATCTAATGTACCATAATTTAAAGATTTTGGTTGAAGATCTGCATTAGATGTGCCATGTTTAGTCTTAAAATATAATTCGTGAAAGATGTCATTCACTAAAAATAAAATCCTCTAAAATTCAACTCCTTTTTAAACAGCGAAAATTGAACTTCGGGTACAATGAGAGTTTTTAGAGATGGACTTGTACATGCATTACTGTCTGACTTCGCAAGTCCGATTTATAAATATAGGCCATATGGGTTAGTTGGCGGCTGATTCGTCATCATGCCTTGTTACTTTTGTATAGAATTTATGTTCTGAATACTTATTATATAAAATTATTAAAATTGCACATATAAATTCTTATTTTTCAAATACAGAACCTGTTGCAGCCTTTTCAGATGATTATATTATGTTATATCAATTTCTTATTCGTTTGTAATGATTTGAGATTAAGCTGAAAATAATAATGCAAATGAAGGATATCTTTTCAAATTGCCACGAAAACACCTTTGGTTATTAAATAAAACCATGAAACACTACTATTTAAATTTTATTTAACGTACATATAAAAATGGGTAGTCAATTTTATGTTACACATTAAAAAAGAGTGGTTTGATAGTTCAGTTGTAAAAATCAATAAATCAAGCTTAATCTAATTCGTCATAATCAGAATTTTCATTGCTAATATTCTTTTCAGTTGGGTATGTTTTAATCCTAAAAGCATCTAAAACACCATCAGAAGATATTTGGGAATTCTAAAAATCTGTTAATAATAATAAATCATCTTTAAAAAATCTGCCATCGTCCCAAATTTTTGCGTTTTTTTTTAGACCCTTATAGATCCTCTGAAACACATTTTGTAACCTATCAAGTGAACTTCCAGTAAGGGAAACTGCTTAAAACAAAAAAAGTTTACTCGGTTTCATAAGTTTCTGTTATTTTGGTGTCAACATACAGCCCCACGTTGGGCGACAAAAATGTAACCTACCAAGTGAAATCCGTAACTTGCCACGTCTTCCTGTCCACAACGTTGAATCGACAAGGCCGAGTGAGTTTGAAAACATCCTCACTGAACCGATCATTTGCCAGTATGAAACTGGGACCTTTTACGAAAGACTTACCTAACAGATAACAAATACCGACAAACGGATATCTGTGTACAACAAAGTAATACTGTGAAATGATCTGACAATTATTAAAGGCTGTTCGCGAAAAACCCTCCTAGCGCGTACCGAATAATAAGGTATTTTTCGCGACATAAACCAATATGGTTTATGCCGCGAAAAACACCTTATAGGCTGAGTTCGGTTTGGCGTTCGCTGTACTCAGAATGCACTCGCTATGCCTCAATTATGGTCGTTTTGGCACTCGGAGCGTATTCTTTTGTGTTCGGCTTGCCACAGACCACGTACTCGGAGCGCGCTCACTCTTCCCCGAGTTGGCTGGTGGAGATCAATGGGTATCTGTAGGAATGTGTCAAAAATGTCAAACGTCATTATTCTGATCTATGATTAATCAGTTTTACACGAATTATTTCTTGTTTGTTTTTGTTATAAGTATTTCCTATTTGACTAAAATTAATTTTTTACAGTCCATACACACAAAAGTGTATTCAAGTGCAAACTATCACTAGTGTCATTTGTCATTCCCCTTGTGTTCGTCTTGAGATTGTAAAAAGAGCGAACTCTGTCTATGACGTCACGCACCCCGATCCGTCGAGTTCCAAACCGAACTTACCCATAGTAAACACGAAAAATTAACCTTAACACGAACGCATCTCGAATAGAACGCGAAACTTCCTCGTCCAAATGACATTCGCAATAGAATCGAAAATTCAAAACAAAATTATAATAAACAAAAATAACAATAGGTCCAGTAGTAGCTAATGCTCACTAATGCTGATCGTAGAGCGACCATAAAGAAATTTATGCGATATAAATAAAAAAAAAATCAGTTACATATCGACCAGCACCCGTGAACCCTATTACTGAAAGTTTACTTAATTATAATTTATTCATTTAAAATAAATTATCTTAATTTTAGAATATTGCATATATAAGAAAATATACACCATGCATCAGCAGGATTATTCTACTAAATTTATAGCCCGGCTACAAGTTGGATTTTGGCTTGAACTTTATATGTTCCTAACTTCAAAGTGGAGTCCTAGCTTTTTCGTATTCTATTAAGCTTCTAGCACCCCTTATAGTCTGCATATGAGAACTATACTGTAGTCTATTCTTATAAGCACCAAATAAGGTGCCTATTAAAATTAAAAGTATGCTAGAAGTACACATATCCTGATTTTTTGTTTTATTGGAATTTGATGTGAGAGTTGTGAATATTTATCGGACAATTATAAAACGGCAAAAGTTAAGTGGAACAAACTTAAACAGAAAAATCTTCAGAAAACAACAGATAATTTAAAATTTAACAATTGTTTTCCACTGTTCAACGCATTTTTGGGGACCCATTTCATTCAAGTTATCTGATAATTTTACCCAAATTTCCCCTTGCATTTTTTTCCCTTGTATGCCAACAAACTTTCCTGTCGCAAATTTTTTATGATCAGACATGTAGTCTACTAAGTGGTTTAATTGAATTTCTGTACATCTCTGTCGTTTCTGATCCATTTTTAATCATAAAAATCTAATAATAAAAAAGCAAAACACTGGTAGTAAACACAAGGTCTAATGAAGTATTGAATTGAATGGGAATTGGGAATTATTCATTCTTCTTTTTTGAAAAGCATTTAGACTAAACATCTATGTGCTATGAGCAAAATTATATAATTATTCTTCTTGATGTTCTTAGAACACAACGTTGCCAAACCTCACAGACTAATTTTCTAGTACTGTAGTTGTAGCCCTATTAAATTTATAGTCGGACTATTTCTAAGACTAGTAGAATATGGCTGGACTATAATTTAGAGTCTACATGTTTAGTATGCTAAACTTATAGTCTCTTTTATAGTTCCTTAGTAGAATAACCCTGCAGATCGTTTAAACAATTTGTTTTCGGTTTCATAACATTATATATTGGACAATCGAACAAGATATGAAGTTTAGATATGGCAATCCTGTGGGCCTGTTTTCATTGAAAGGGTCACTGATACATATATAGATTGCTCAAAGCAGGTCGTTTGCGAGCGGCCATATTGCCTGGAAAGTTAATTTGAATCGGTCTAGCAAAAATGTGTTTTAAAATCAATTTCCTTTGAATATATCAAAAAAAAATAATTACCTACATTTTTACTTTAAGGCATAAGCCTATGTTTATTTTTAAAAACAATGTATATAACTATCTATACATTGACCCTGTCAAATCACCAGGCTTACATAACCTATCATGTGCCTGTCAGTGACCTGTCATTACCTACGGGCAACCATTTTGATTGGAATGCCTAATAATAAAACGATTAATTAATCGAAGTAAGGGATGAACTCGTATTCTGAGAAATTGATCTTTAGGTAAGCTTACTTTTATACCTGAGATATAACTCGAAGTTCTAAAAAATACGGTAATTCTGAAAGAAAGTTATTTTCCAGGAATTATGTATATATCCTCGTCTATTGAGAAGGTAAATTAAATAAAGCTATAGTCGTTAGGCCAATCGACCAAGAGAAAGTTGTGTATGAATACCGCTAGTTTTCAACAAATAACTCTAAAATCTTACCTAAGGAACCTTTACATTTTTTTGAACAGTCAAATATGCACGTTACAATTTCAATTTTTTTTTTCCTTGAAACGCTTGAGAACATGATTTTTACCTTAAAACTCCCAAATGTCTCGTCAAATTTCCATCTTAAAGAAAATGTGAATTAGATAATTTGGAATAATTTATTGTTGCTAAATAATAGACGCGAAGCCAACCCTATTCTTTGTTTATTACCGTACTCGCGACAGGAAGTCTAGCGCTGGCCACATCGAGACCCATCGCGAGACTCGAATGTTTTTCATCGCAGTCTGACTCGTGGAGAATAATTCCCGGAACTTCTAGTCAGAGTTGGTTCTTTCGAGACTGTTACATTTCTATATAAATAACGCGACTTGTCGACAGACGACAAGTCTTAAAGTAAGTGTTGGATAGTAAAGACAAATTGTAATAAATTAGAATTGTGAGTTGTAATAGTGCTTAAGTATTATATAAATTAATTAGTACGTTATAAAGTGTTTTAAATAAATAAACAATAAATAAATTAAACAAACGTTACAATAATATTAGACCATCCACAGAATAATAAACCGTACAAATTTTCTCTAAAAACTAGTTTACTTTAAAACAAAGTTTATCAATACTTTTGTTTGCATATGTAGCGGTATTCTCTAATTTGACAAATGTCAAAAAAATACAGTGTTGCCAACTCAATTAGAACATGCAATGGTCATATTTATGTTAGAATAAAGTAAAGTAAAAAAATAACTGAATTACCTAACATTATATACGTAATTTATCGAAAATGGCTTAAACAATATATAGAAAAACTAAGAAAATAAAAAAATAATTTTCCTAACCTGCGCGACCTAAACCCATCTGGGGTTATTACGCAAAAATTATACCTAAAATGAAAAAAATTAACACAACTTAACCTTAGCCAAATTTCATTAACTGATCTATTGTAATATAAGTTTTATTAATATATTTGGCAATGACCTGTCAAATAATAGCTGCCAGTGCGGGGTTGCGATATAATCTTCCATCTTGAACGCTATTTTTGCTCGAACTGGTAGTCGCCAAGCCTGCCAATTTATGAAAAATGTATGAGCATTTTTTTTAAAAATAATTTTTATTGTATTAGACATAAAATATTTAAATTTAATCCATTATTTATGATTTCACATATTGTAGATAGAATATATTTTGTCGCAACCCCTTAGATATATCAAATCCTTAGAAATATCAACTCCTTCCCACTGACAGTTCTTTTGTTTGGAATTCATTTAATTCACATTTATTTTTGGTCAGCGAATTCAAAATCGTTATGGGTATAGTGTGTTTCAAAGTGTCTAGAAGTTTTCTGTAAAATTTCAAAAGTAATATCCACTGTTTGGACGATAGCGTATATTACCAAACTCACCCCTGTATAATAGATGTAACTTGTTCCCACTGCTGGTGTTGTTGCCACTTGTAGGCTCTGTTGGGGGTCTCTATC